CTCGGGCACTGCACAGCACCAGTGCTCTTACCTACATTCAGGCAGTACACGCATACAGATGAAATAAAAAATAAAATATTAAAAAAGAGATATTAATGTCTTAAAGTGTTGAAAAGTTTAAAACTGTGGGACTTTTACAGTTGAACTGTATTTTATATTATAATATTAATGTGAGATCTTAGGGACAAATAAGAAAGGTTGTGATCTTAAGCAATGTGCTTGTGTGTTAAAGTTGACAAGGGGTGGAAAGTCATAGTTAGCGTTAGCTGTCAACTTGACACAAACCTAGAGTCACCTGGGAAGAGGGAACTTCAACTGAAGAATTGTCTCCAGCAGATTGGCCTGTGGGTACATCTGTGAAGGCATTTTCTTGATCACTTATTGATGGAGGAGGGCCCAGCCCACCGTGAGTGGTGCCATCTCTGGACAGGTGGGCCTGGGCTGTATAAGAAAGCTACCTGAGCAAGTCAGGGAAGCAAGCTGGTGAGCAGCATTTCTTCATGATCTTTGCTTCCGTTCCTGCCTCCAGGTTCCTGCCTCAAGTTCCTGCCCTGGCTTCCTACAGTGCTGGGCTTGTAAGCTGAAATAAACTCTTTCCTCCTCAAGTTGGTTTTGGTCAGTGTTTTATCGTAGCAACAGAAAAATCTTCTTCCTAACAGATCACCCTCCTACTGCTCTGCCTTTTTGTGTGTGACCCAGTGACGTTTAATTAGGGTTGTCTGTATGAACATGAGTCAGAGGGTTATTTACTTGAGCAAAACTAACTTAAAATTTATTTTAGATACACATGAGTGTTTTGCCTGCATGTATATAAGAGCACTATGTGCCCATGGAGGTCAGAAGAGGGTGTTGGATTTCCTGGAACTGGAGTTACTGATGATTGTTAGCCACCATGTGAGTGCTGGGAACAGAAACAAGGTCCTCTACAAGAGCAGCCAGTGCTCTTAATTACTGAACCATTTCTCTAGCCTAAGTAAGGGCAACTTACCAATGAGGAGTATGATCCCTCCCACAGAGCTGTTAACTACATGTAGCTCCTCAGAGATGGGGGACCTTGTGGGCCCCTCCCCCATCCATGATGGGGTGTTGATGGGTCTAGTATTGTGCAGGTAATCATGGCTGCTGTGAGTTTATGGGGGCAACAGCCAAATTGTGTCCAGAAGACAGAGTTTCACAGCACCCTTTCCCATCCTCTGGCTCTTTACATTCTTTCTGCCCCTCCTTGCATGATGTTCCCTGAGCCTTGGAGAGGATGCTATAGATGTCACATTTACGGCTAAACACTCAACAGTCGTGTATTCTCAGCACTTTAACCTATGTAAAGTCTCTGCATTAACTGTTGCTCACTGCCAACTGAAACTGACCAAGACTGAGCACAGCATCAACATATGGGTATAAACATAAATATTTAGGAGGCAGTTGACACCTTGTCCATTTAGCAAAACAACAGTAGTGGACTGCCCTTTTGGGCCTCCCCAAGTCATGGGCTTTTGACCAGATTTATAGTACCAGGTATGAATTCCTCCTGTGGAGCAGGCCAAAATCCAATCAGAAAGTGGTTGGTCAAAGTCATGACACTGTCGCAGCAGCAGATATCTTTCCTGGCAGCCTGGCATTACAGCTCAGAGCGGTCACAGCTGAGTAAGACCACGGATGACTTTTCACTCCTAGCAGCCTACATAGCACTCTCCCACACTATGAAAGATAGCCAGCAAGGTAGAAGCACCAGCTCATCCCAGCTTGATTTCTCCATGTCCTGCAGCTAAAATGTGTAGTATATTCAGTAATGGGGTATTAACATCCAGTTCTGGTGAGCAACCAAGAGCAATGGCAATACCCTGTGCTGTTTTGGGGCCTTCTAAGGCTTCTCTGACCAACAGCTCATAAGGAGGTATCCTACACCTGACACTCTGGGTTTTGTTTAATAACCTCTGGCTTCTGGGAGCAGTGTTAGCTACCCATGCCCCGTACTTCCCTTAATTTTTTTTTAAATTGTATTTTGAAATTAGCTACAAAATGGGTTTCCATATGGCTTTTTCATACATCCTTCCCCCACTCTCTGTAAATGCCTTTTAATATGTGGGTTCTGCTCCACTGATTTCATTCCCTGCCCCCTTAATCTTGTTGAATAAACCAGGTCTTTTGACTCTAGTCTTGATTCTGCTAATTACATTCCCGTGATTTTGGCATGTTCATTTTTCTTCTATTTTTTTTTCCTGTAAATTGGTAGTTAAAAGATTTGACTAGATTTAAGTTCAGTTCTTTTCATCAAGAATACTCCATGGAGGGGCTGGAGAGATGGCTCAGTGGTTAAGAGCACTGGTTACTCTTGCAGAGGACCCAGGTTAGATTCCCAGCACCCACATGGGGGCTAAAACTGTCCATAACTCCAGCACTAGGGAATCCGATGCCATCGTCTGACCTCTGCGGGCATTGTACAACACGGGTACACTTACACACATGTAGGCACATACAATAAAATAAAAATAATAAAATATTTTTTAAAAAATTTCATAGGTAGTATTATATGCTGTTTTCAGAATACACATGACATCTGGCTACATGTTTATAACATTAATAATGTTTGATTATTAATGACAAGATCCATTAATTAATTATAGTGTTTAAATTTTGATTTGGAAGCTTTTAAGTTCTTAAGAGTTTTTGTTTGTTTTTGCTTTTTGGAGATAGGGTCTCACTATGGTATCCCAGGCTGGCTTAGAACTCACTATATGTAGCCTTAGCTGGCCTTGAACTTATGATTCACCTGCCTCAACCTCCTAAATGCTGGTAATACAGGTGCTCATCACCACATCCAGCCAGATTTTAGTTTTGATGAAGTCAAACCTATCAATCTGTTGTTTTGACTTTTTAAAAAATTCTTTTAAAAAATATTTTATTTATTATTATTTTGTGTGTGTGTGTATGCATGTATTGCCTGCATGTAGGTAAGTGTCGTGCAATGCCCACGGAAGACAGAAGAGGCTGTTGAATCCCCTGGAACTGGAGTTACGAACAGTTGTTAGCTGCCATGTGGGTGCTGGGATTTAAACCCGGTCTTCTGTAAGAACAACCAGTGTTCTTAACCACTGAGCAATCTCTACAGCCCCCAACTCTTTTTAAAGACAGGATTTCATTTTGTAACCCTGGCTGGTCTAGAATATGCTATGTAGACCAGGCTAGCCTTGAACTCAGAAATCCACCTGCCTCTTCCTCTTGAGTGCTGAGATTAAAGATGTGCACCACCATGCCTGGCCTCAGTTTGTTATTATTATTAATCTTTTTTGGTCTTTTTGAGACAGGGTCTCCCTGTAGCCCCAGCTGGCCTGGAACTCACAGAGATCTGCCTGCCTCTGCCTCCCTAGTGCTGGAATTAAAGGCATGCGCCACCACGCCTGGCCTCAATTTGTTATTTTGTGGACTGTGTAATAGCTGAGAAATCTTTCCGAATTCAAGATAACAAAAATTTTCTCTTTTGTTTTCTTCTAGAGATTTTTCTGAATTCAGGTCCTCTGCAAGAGCAGCCAGTGCTCTTGACCACTGAGTCATCTCTCTAGCCCCACATGTTTTACTCTTGAATGATATTTGCAAAAACTTCTTTATTTATATATTTAATGCTGGTTTTGGAAAGGGGAATATCCTGTATTTCCTAAGGACGAACTATGTAGACACACATATACAAAAAATTTAGATGAATTGTAAATACTGACTTTTTCCAGGATACTCTAGGAGTATTACCATAACAATAGCCACAAATACATTTATCCCACATCAGTTGTCATTTTTTATTCTGGTAAAATGTATATTATGTAAAATTTACTATTTTAATCATTGTAACTATGCAGTTCAATGACATTAAGTACATTTGTATTGTTGTATTCCCGATTTATTTTGCAGTCATATTTCATATAGTAAGAGGAATGGATTAAAATGAAATTGCTTTTACATATTTATATCAGCTGTTCCAGAGCTGTTTATGGAAAAGACTATCCTTTTGCCACTGAATTGCTTTTGCACTATTCTCACAAATCTTTTTTTTTTCTTTTTGTCTTTTTGAAGCAGAGTCTCCCTGTAGCCCCAGCTGTCCTGGAACTCACAATGTAGACCAGGCTGGACTTGAACTCACAGAGAGCCGTCTGCCTCTGCCTCCCAAGTGCTGGGACTACTACTCGTCTCATAAATCTTTCCTATTATGTATGGATTTATCTCTGGATTCTGTTTTCTTCTATTACCACTCACCTGCCTGAGGTCCTTTTGCATTACTCTGACAGAAATCACGGGTAGATGAGGACTGGCTTCTTCCAGTGTGGACTGACCCGGGCCCTTGAGTGCCAAAGGCTTATGGGCTGGTCTGGAGGACTCAGAGACGCATAGCTTCAAATCCCTGAAAACTAGAAGATTATGGATCTAGGCACTAGAAGCCAATGACTTTGGATATAGGTGCTGGTGCTTGTGGCTTGACACCTGGCAGCTCCCTTAATCCTCTTGGTACAGCTAGCAGTAGCAGCATCAGCACTGGTGTGGTCTCTACCTGTGCTTAATGCCATAGTTCCTGAGTCTTAGGGGTCAGGACCCTCAGCACCTTCAGTGACTGGTGTTCTTCTTTCTAGATCTTTGGCCCCTAGAGTTTATAACTCCCTGGAATTTTCCGGTAACCAGGCCCACAGTACCTTGTCTTTGGCTAGTCACAGCTTTCTCTATACGTCGACCATCTTTCCCAGTCTGTACTCCAAGTCACTCTTTGGAACTCTTCAGTCACTTTCTCACCACTGTTGAGGCACAGATTTGAGTCTGTACCCAGGATCTTTTGTCCCATCGCAAAGAATTGGACCAGGAACACATGGTTAAAAATAGAACTAGAGACAGTTTACTAACTAGCTCCATTAAGAATATTGCCTTCAGGACTGGAGAGACAGCTCAGCAGTTGAGAGTGTGGAGTACTCTTTTCTGTATCTTATGGGTTTTTTTTTTTTTTTGGTTGTTTTGTTTTTGTTTTTTGGCAGCTCAGAAGCAGCATCTGGATCTCAGCATTGCAACTCAGATGGCATGTTGGAGTCATCACCACCCTGTGGGGTACCCTGTTCGGTTCCCAGCACCCAGAGCAAGTGGCTCACAACCACCTAACTCCAGAGGACCTAACGCCTCTGGCCTCCATGGGTACAGGCACTAACATGTACATACCCATACACAGGCATACACATATACACATAGTTAAAAATTATAAAAATAAACTGGATGTGGCGGTGCACATCTTTAGTTCCAGCACTTGGGAGGCAGAAGAAGGCAGATCTCTACGAGATCAAAGCCAGCCTGGTCTACATAGCAAATTCTGGGCCAGCTGGGGCTACAGTAAGACCCTGTCTCAAAAGTACGAAATAAAATAAAATAAAAATCTTTAAAAGAGAACAGAAGTTATCTAGTGAGCTGAAGGAAAAGCCTGTGCTTCAGAAGCACTGGGCCACGAACCTCATGACCCTTCAGAGCCCCTGTATAGGTCACCAACATAGCACCCACCTCTCCCATGTTTGTATAGCACAAGCTTTACTTTCCTTTAAAATACTTTTATTAATTCTTTGAGAATTTCATACAGTGTATTTTGATTATATTCACCCTCTTCCAACTCCTTCCAGATCCACCCCACCTCCCTAGCCATTGTGCCCTCTTTTATTTCCTTTAAAGCCCAACTGAGTGCAATTTGTTTTGCCCAAATATTCTTGAGTCCATCCCCTGGAGCATAGTCAACCTGACAGTGATCACATCCTTAAAGAAACTGAGTCCAGCAGCTGACAGTTGGGAAAAGCTCCTCAGTGAGGGCTGGGATGTGACCGGGCTTGAGGGGCACAAGCTTTTCTTGAGCATGCGCTCTTGGCTTTATGAAGCCCAGGTGGGGAAGGGCTTCCTGTCTTTTTCTGGCTCCTTATCTGTGTAAATCTTGATGTTGCTTTTTTCAGTCTCTACACTCCTGACACACTGCTACTGCTATTGCTGTCACCATTTCCATGTTAGGAGCTCAGCCCACTAAGAAAGATCAACTAGGCAAGACGACTCTGTGGGAGAAGCCCTTTATTGGGTCTAATGGTGGAACACTAAGGGGCAGCGCAAGCTAGTGTCCCCAGGCTGACTGGAAAAGTGAGTGAAACCACCTGGTTAAACATCCAGGAGGTGTTGTATGTGCTATGGGTGTGACCTGTAAATGATGGGCTTCATTTGCACCAATCACAGCACAAAATCCAGTTCACAGGCCCTGCATAAAGACCAATCACAAGTCCTGCATTGCATCGATCTCTAGTTTCCTGCTGAGCTACTGAGGACATACTGCCCCTCCCATCTTGAGTGAGAATGGGTCAGGATCATCTAAAATTCACCAAGCCTTATCTTGCCTGAAATGCTGTGTTTCACCGCTTGATGCAAGTTGTCTGGAGGGGTTGTGACTGGATCAAGGCCTTCTGGAGCAGGAAATAGTTTCAGATGCAATGGTCTTTGCAGCTAGGGACTGCCATCTGGCTGGTTTCCAGAAAAGGGGCTGCTTACTTACAGTTCACCACTCCCAGGCTGACAGACATAGGGGAAAACTCTTCTGCCACTCAGAAGCCTGAATGACCCTTTCCCAGTGGCTTCACTCATTCAGAGAAAACATTACAGGATGCTTACAATACCTAAGAAACCTCAACGTAAAACTATCATTCATAACAGTATTTAACAATGTTTAATAGTGTTTAACCCGATGTCCCAGTGCTCCACAGGGAGTAAGGGCCTCTGTCTCAGTCCCACAAACCTATTTGTCAGTCTTTATGCCAGCACCACACAGGTTTGATACTGTGCGTTATAAGAAATCTTGAAACTGGATTCAACTTTAGTCTTTTTCAAACTCAGTTTTACTGTTCTAGAGCCTTTGTACTACCATGAATTTTAGAGTCAGACAATCAGTTTGTACAAGAGGAATTCCTCCTGGAATTTTGTTGAGGATTGTACAGAGTCTCTAGATAATTTTGGGAACCATGACATCCTAATAATATTAGGTCTCCTGGCCTATGATTGTGTGTTTATCCATTTGGGGAGGTTTTAAACCTCCTTTTCACATTTTTGGGGGGTTAGGTTTAATCTCATATTTTTGGTGCGATCGTGACTTTAAAAAAATTTCAATTTCTGATTATTTCTAGTACATAGAAATCCAGTTGATTTTTTTACAATGACCTTGTATCTTTCAGTCTTAAGCTCATCTAGTAGTCACAAATTAGGGCAGTTTGACTTCCCTTTCTGACCCTTGCCTTCTGTTTCTTTAGTGCCTGAGTGAACTGGCCAGAGCCTCCAGGGCAACACTGAAAAGACTTGTTGAAAAACTGAAAACTGATCTGCCATACGACCCAGCTAAGGATTCTAAGACCTACCAGAGACATATTTGTACACCCATGTTTATTGTCACAATCACTAAGAAATGGAACCAGCCTAGATGTCTGTCAACAGGGAAATGGATGAAGAAAATGATATATACAATGTGATTTTATTCAGCCATAAAGAAAAATGAAATTATGACATTTGCAAAAAAAGGATAGAATTGAAAATTATTATGTTAAGAGAAGTAAGTCAGACTCAGAAAATGCTGCATGCTTTCTTTCATATGTGGAAACTAGATTTAAATGTTTGGGGTTTTTTTTGGTCTTTTTGAGACAGGGTCTCTGTGCATGCGTGTGTGTGTGTGTGTGTGTGTGTGTGTGTGTGTTAAAACCAGGAAGGATACCATGACAGGGAAAAACCAGAGATCTCAAGGGAAGGGGAGAGAGAAGAAAGGTGATGGAAGACACATGACTTGGAGGCAGAAGTGGGTTAGGAGGAGAAAGGGGACAACAGGATGGGAAGAATGGGGTGTGGGAGCATAAGAACATCATGGATGAACATGCCATAATGAAACTTGCTATTTTGTATGCTAAAAAAATTAATTTAAAAAAGAAAAGAATTGAGGCTGGAGGAATGGCTCAGCAGTTAAGAGCACTGGCTGCTCTTGCGGAGGACCTGGGTTCAGTTCCCAGCACCCACATGACAACTAACAACTGTTTATAAATCCAGTTCCAGGGGAATCCAACGCCTTCTTCTGACCTCTGTGGGCACTGCACAACATGGGTGCACTTGCAGATGATACACTCATACACATAAAATAAAAATAATAAAATATTTTTTTAAAAAAAGATTTTTTTTTCAAGTGGATTTCCTTGATCTTGAAGGAAAAGAATTCCATTTTCACAACTGGTCTTTTTAGATGCTCTTTATTAGTTTGTAGGAGTTCATTTTATTTTAATTTTCCTAATAATTTTAATGAGGAATGGGTACTGGATTTTGTTAAATTCTTTTTCTGTGTTTATTGAGTTGATCATATATTTTATTTTTCCTTCTTAGTTTGTTGACAGAGTGAATTTTAGTGATTAATTTTTGAATATTAAACCATTCTTACATTTCTGGGATAAGCGCCCTCATTATTATGTATTATGAATTTTCTCTTCTTGTGTTTGGATTTAGCATTAATACAGTGCAACGAATCAAAAAGTATTCCCTTTAACTTAAATGTTTGAAAGAATTTGCATAGAATTGGTGGTATTATTTTTTTCTTAAGTATTTGGTAGGAGTCACCAGTGAAGAAATAGGTGCCTGGAATTATCTTTGTGGCAGCAATTTTTTAGTGATAAGATTCAAAACATAAATATGATTTCTTTCAATAGATGTAAAGCAATTCAGGTTGTCTATTTCTACATTTTGAAATAATTTGTTATACTCTTAACCCATTTTATGCTGCTATAACAGAATACCACAAATTGAGTGATTTATAGAGCAAAGAAACTTATTCTATCAATTCTGTAGACTGGGAGGTCCAAATTGAAAGCACCAGCAACTGATGAGAACCTTCTTATATTCTTAAGCAAGAGGGCAAACAGGAGTAGATACTGTGTCCCCACAGGGCAGATGAGCAGGTGAGAGCACTACTTCCACAATCCCGGTACCAGTGTGTGGCATTAATACCTCCTAATGCTGTTGCCTTGAGGTTTAATTTTTTTTTTGGTCTTTTTGAGACAGGGTCTCCCTGTAACCCAAGCTGGGCTAGAACTTGTCATATAGACAGGCTGGCCTTGAACTCACAGAGGTCCACTTGCCTCTGCCTCCTGAGTGCTGGGTGGTATTAAAGGGGAGCGCCACCATGCCTGGCTGAGGATTAGCTTTCTGATACATCAATTTTGAGAGAACAGATTCAAGCCATAGTAGTCCATTTTATCTAAGTGGTCAATTTATAGACACTGAAATTTCATATTATGGATTTTTACCCTTTTAATTTCTTCAGGGTTTGTGGTTAGTCACCGCTTTCATTCTCGGTACTGGTAATTTGTGCCCCCCCATTCCATTATTTTCCTATAACTTCTTAGTTACATAAGGACTCTGGCCTCAGTTAGGATCTCATTTCCTAGCTGTAGTCTTTGGTCATATTCAAATTTCTTAACCACGTTCCTTGGGTTACCCAGGGTGTCTACAAATAAGACCATGCCTCCCAGATTAAGTCAAATTTTGAATGTGCAGACAAGGACATAGTTTATCAGGGTCTCATCAAGCTCTAATAAACAATTGGTTTTTTAAAGGTCATATAAATACATACATAAAGATAGCCTAATACCCTATGGCATAAGGATTGATTTTAATACTTATTTAATATTTAGGTTGATGAATCCTGCCTCTAGGGAGACTAATTCATTAGGTCTGAGGCAAGCCCCCCTTCCCTATTCTTTTTACTAGCTTTCCTAAGTTCAATGTAAGAAGGAGACTGAGAACCACTGGAGCAGATGACCTTGTTAAGCTCCTATCAATATGGACACTGCCCAGGACTGGGAGTATTGAGTAGGCTAGTGCTGCCCTCTAGTGCCTTTGAGGCTTCCTGTCCAACTCCCTGGAAATGCCGGCTCTTTCGCATCTCTCTTGTCATCTTCCTGTTGCGGTGATAAAACACTGACCGAAACCAACTTGGTAGGGTAAAGGGGCTTATTTCATCTTACAGCTTAAGTCACTCATGGAGGGAAGCCCAGGCAGGAACTC